GGGGAGACAGGGATGAGGGAGACTGAAAGGCGACAATTTAACGTGTCTATTCTTCCCTGTGCCTATAATTATGCCACTAAAGGAGTGAGTATTACCATCTTCGGAGAGTAGATCTGATTCATTGGTTGCGGAGCCTCCCTTGGCCGGGAGTATAGGAGCCCCACCCGTCGAACCCAGGCAAACGGTTCGCATGCAGGTAGGTTAGGTTACCGAAAGGGGCCGCTGACACAGAACAAGCCCCCTGTCGATTGCAATACATGCTGCTACGTATATGTATACCCTCGCGGCTTGACCATCGCTGTATCGGTACCTTAGTCAAAGTCACATTCCCGCGGCTAGCAGTCGCCGGGCCGATACACTCAGAACATCGTTAGCAGAAGCAGACACCGCAAATTGGGCATTCCCCGGAATGTCTTGTTGTCTCGATATCATCTTGACCCTAGTCTCCTTCCGTGCCAGTAGCACCTCTTATCTCCCGCAATTACGTCTTGTCTCGACTGTAGTGTTCGTACTATTCAGGACGTTCTTGATGACGCCCTTGCGGGGTACTTTGCAGGGCGTGTCTGTTTAAGGCACACTCACCCTTCTTAACCGTACCTCTTCTCGAGTCCCCGGTAAGGCTCATATAAGATATGGGGTCATCTGCCTCCATGCCAGTAACTCTGCCCAAGTGATCATCTTTGATCATATCCTCTCGTTGGACATTTCTTGCCACTGCCATTCCTTTCCACATATCTAAATCTGCTTCCCAGCGTTCTTGACTTCGCTACAGGCATTCGCCAAAATTCTCGATCTTTACATGAAGCATTCTTCTCGTTTCCCTCGTTACTTCCACGATGCAGCTTCCACGGCCAGTTCTCCCATCTCAGAGATATTCCCAGGCCTCTGATTTCGCATACGAGAACCAACATGAAGGAGTGGTTACAACACGGCAGCCATTAAGCGAGTCGACCGGGAATATTCAGCCCCATAGCCTGGCTTCCTCCGCCTCGTTGTGCTATGGCCAACTTTCTCTGTCTCCGCCTATCCATACTATCCCGACTCCCCCTATACTGCCTACTCAAGCCTTGAGTTCGAGCTATGGCACTAGTCTCCGAGGCGATCGTTCCTTACATCGAAATGTATCGTTACACGAATTACCAATGGGTAACTCACGGGGCAGGAAGAACCCCATATACCACCACAAGAATTTTGCGGATTACCGTAATAAGGTGATGCAAAAGGAGCTCGACAAGGAGCAACCTGTATGGCCAGATTGGCTGGAAGACGCTTTCCTCGATGGTGCGTATACCCATAGCTGACCCTGTTCCCGAGAGCCACTTGTTGACCCATGACGCTAGCTCTTCTCCTGATCCCTCAGTTAGGTCGCAAGAAGTTCAGTTCAAAGACGATTCTGTATGGCCGGAATATGCTGATCACGGAATACCTTTGGATCTACCACTGGACACTCCACCCGCCTAAGAAGGGTGAGCGGATTCCATGCGGAAAGCAGAGAGAAAAGACCAAACAAAACCCTGGGCATCCTATGTTCCGGTCGCGAAAACAGGTGTCCAGTCATATACAAGTGTTGAAAGGATTCTTCCCAACACTATCCACATGTAAGAATGTTTTACCTGTTTAGTTAACTAGCGTAAGCTAACTGCTGGGTATAGTCCATTTCATTTTCCCGAGGCAGAAGGACGGCCTGGACGACGATAAGAAACTATTGAAGGAGGAGGAGGATACCGAGTCTTTTAAGAACAACCGAGTGCTCATCTCTATAGCAGATGGGCGGTTACCAGATGAACGACCAAACTACGAGTACTTCTCCCGGTTACTAAATGCCGAGAATGATGTATTCATACGGCCGAAGCAATGCTGGGTCTTCGTGTCGTCTTCAAAATTAAACCTAAAGGAGAAGCATGTCACATCAGAAGATGGCACGACGAAGAAGCAAGTCATTGCAAACCATCCTGATGGCCTGTGCCTGACGGAGGCCGACTACCCACACCTCAAACTTAATGAGAGCAAGGACTATAAAGACCTACCACGCCAGGGAAACCGCCCAACGGTATTACTACACGAATATACAAGAACCCTGGCTCAGAAGGAATCATCTTCAGTGAAGGAGATTGCTGGCAGATGGGATGTAAGGTTCCCCGAGCTCCGGGAGAAGCTCACCGCTGCTCTCGACGATACCCAGCCGTCCGACGAGCGAACTTCGCGCTGTGTTGTTGGCCCCTGTGACACTTTCCACTTTGAAACGGTGCTGGACTTGCACTCAACATCCAAGTTCCCTCCGGGCTCCGACCTGAACGGGCTCGTTGAGTTCACAATCAGCAGGCCTGATCTCCACAACCATAGTTGGCGATCAAGGACATGCGTCATCAAACCCGACGAGCTGTACATGTCGGATGGGGAAAGTGAATACTGGGAAGAAAGCAGTACGGTTGATGTTATCCCTTCCCATCGCGTTGGCTGCAATGGAGCCGGTCGATGTGATTGCACCGCTCGTGGCAGCCGCGATACGATCTCCATTCCATTCCCAGCTAACAGCTGGGCCAACACTTTCATTAAACTTGCACCATTCGTGACGGCTGAGCGAGAGAGGAAGGATCGTGAGCGGGCAACTAGAGCGGCGGCATCGCTGAGTGGCCGAGCCGAGCGCGAAGCAGCCCGTATGAAGAAAGAGAACGAGGAGGCGTCGCCACACTCCAAGGCGAGAGGCCCCAGCCCCAAGGACCTGCTCGCTCAAGTTGCTATGTACCAAGAGGTATGGTCGGCGCCTCAGAGTGAAGTGGTTGCCAGGAGTAGCGCCGACGACTCGTCCTGCAAGCGAAGCCGCGGGAAATGGACGCGCCGAGCAGTGATCCTGTGGACATTTGTGCCCGTTCATGATGACACCGACGATAAGGGCAAGACAACCGTTGTGCCGCCTGGAACTAACTGGCGTTTCCTTACCAAGATCGACCCAACTTCGTCGTACCACCAGCAACAGGCATACATCTCTGGGTCCCCCACGGCCCTGTCCCGCGACAACATCATGAGCCCGAATCCCGGATATGCACAGCATATCAACGCAGTAATGCATGAAAACTTTAGCGCCGCGTACGATGCCGGATCTACAAATACATTTACCTTGCCAAGTCATGCCCACATGCACAATCATCCGCATTTAGCACATATCAACACACAAAACCATCTCGCAGGTTTAGGCGATATGCTCGACGGCTTTTCAAACGGTCTTGCAACTCCGCCTCCTTCGGCCACTCTCCAGAGCAATTTCCCCCACAACTTCGAGGGAAACAACACCAACATTGACTCGGGGCATACGCTGCATCACCATCTGAGCTTCATGTCCGATGGGACAAGCGGCACCAGCACCACTGATCACAGCAATGTTGGCCTCCTTGCCACTCATGATTTAAGTCCGACGGAACCATTTCTATCGGGTCTCGAAGTCTCGGACTATATGCCGAACTTCGCCGCGCCAACACATGCACTAGGCGATTTGGCAAACCCCTACATGGACAACAGTCATGCGACAGTGGATGCTGGTGGCGTTAGCTGGGCTGACGCGGACGCCTTGACAGCAACGAGCACCATGGAGCCACAATGGGCCGCTATTGCTGCCGCCGCCACAAATCATACAATTCACCATGGTTGTAACCAAGCCGGGAATGAGACACATGTCGACCTTGGCTCCGGCGGCCAGCACCAAGACGCATGGACCGCGTGGCCTACAACAGAGTTCAGTGGCGTTTCACCCGTCTACAGTCGCCGAACCTCTGGCAGTCTATTCGAAGAAGGGTTAGGCGACATGATCGACGGCGAGACCGCTGGGTTCGCGTTAAGCGAGACGGCGCCGACGCTCGCGGGGCGCAAGAGGTCGCGCACCGAGAGCATAGGACTCGACGACGACGACGAATGCGAGAGGTATCCCGTGCACTCGATCCGCAAGCTCGCGCATCATCCTGCCTCGGTCTATGCGCCCCAGGGCGAGAGCGAGACTAGCGGCGGCGGTGGCGGCGCGCCTACCGCTGTCATGAACTTGGATGAGGCGTCGGGAGGCTTTCTGTGATGATTCACCCTTCTAAGACAGCGCGAAACATGTACGCATACCGTGTTCAGACGTTACTACCCCTTCATTCATCTTGAACCCCGCCCGATTTCCCGGGTTCCAACCCGGGAATCTGGGCTGTCCTTTATCTGGCGGTTAGGTCTAATACTGTAATACATCCACCCATTCGTTCCTCGGGTGGTTAGGAGCGGGGGTCAGCCAGTCCCCCCCCCCCCTTAAGCATTATCATTTGTATCTTCTTTAACGGCGCATATGGTAACTGGGCTCCCATGTCCCTGGATCTGCTTTTGTATCCCTTTGACTTTTTTTTTTTTTTTGGATTAATCAGTGATCGATCGGTCGAAAAGGCGGCGGATTGCTTGGCGCTTATTGTCTCGGGCTTTGGACATTCCTGGGGAGAAAACACGAGATATATCTCGGCCAGGGAGGGCTGGCTCAGAGATATAAATTCAGCGATGATTCAATCCTATTGACACATAATAATAAAGTCAGTAATATCAGATGAGTGTTTGGCGTGTGTCCAATCAATGTACGATGTCCTTGCCTGGTGAGATTGAGTCGTCAGTCATATAGATAGAGTATGTCCAGAGCCAAACAAGCTCATATTCTACTATCTATCGGGATATCTATCTATCTATACCTATACTAAGGCTTTCATTCAACTATGCCTCTATTGCGTATATGCCCTTTATACTTAATCAATTACTGCGCGACTTAAAGTGAGTGAGTGATCTTTTTATAATGATCGATTCCTCCCTCCCCACTTTCTCTTATCTACGATAGGGCTAGCTAGCTAGGTTAGCTAGGTAGGTAGGGTTGGTTGGAGCTAGCATTCATTGTACTAACCTTAACAGCATAGCTCCCAAGAATGCCAAAAAATAAAACAAAAAAAAAGATTAGCCGAACCAACAACTTGTGGTGATTCGTATGTCATAGGAATTGAACCCGACCCGATTTGAACGGATGACCTTCTGGATGCTGTTTCCAAACGGCGCTGGAATCAGATGCTCTACCGCTGAGCTACGGGTCCCGGATGGAGGAGATGAAGGTCTATAGGTGAGTATGCTGAAGCGCATCGCACCTGCAACGTACGTCGGCGATTGTTGATGTCGATGTCGTCTCAGAGATTGGGCTATCACTTGCCGGCAACTCTCTACTCTCTACTCTAGACTCATCTTACATGAGAATTCGAGACCCAGCATAGCCAATTATGTCACATTTAAGAGCAGATCAACTAGAGACGGTCGCTAAATTATATGCCGAGTTACCTTTGTACATAAGATGAGTGTTTACTCCCTCACCACTAACACACTAACACGTCTTCCTCCTCCTTCCCGTCAAACAGCGCAACCCTTAACCAGCAGCAACATGAACCTCCGCGGTCGCCGTCCCTGCGTTCTGGTATTTGATGTACGACAAATCTAGCACGCCATCCCGATTATAGTCGATCAAGCTCCACACTCCGTTTGCCTCTTGCGCGAACGCGCTTCCGCCCTCAAAGATCCTGGTCTGATAACCCGACGACTTGGAAGCAACATGGACCTCGACCTGACCAGTTCCCGTGCTAGCATCCTTGATATACACGAGATCCGCAGCGCCGCGCGATGAGTACGGAGCCAGGGCCCAGAAGCCGTTGTTCTCCGGCGCGAAGGTCGTCGCCGTCTGCAGGACGAACCGGCTGTACGTCGACGCGCCCGAGGCCACGTGCACCTCTACCCTGCCACTGCCCGTGTTCCGCGTCTTGATGTAAACGAGGTCCAGGACGCCGTCGCCGTCGTAGTCGTACAGCGACCAGACGCCGTTATCCTCGTTGGCGAAGACGGTCGCCGTCTCCTGCGTGCGGGTCCGGTAGCCCGAGGCCCCGGACGCGATGTGCACCTCGACTCGTCCCGACGGCGTGTTGCTCGTCTTGATGAACACGAGGTCGGGGAGGGCGCTTTTCTTGGACGGGACCAGCAACCAGGTGCCGTCGTTCTCTTCGGCGAATGTAGTCCCGGCTTCGAAGATGCGGGTCTGGAAGTTGGACGACGACGATGCGATGTGCACTTCGACCGAATTGGTCCCTGTGCGGCTCGTCTTGACGTAAGCGAGATCCGGGACACCGTCGTTCGTTGCACTAGGGCAGAATGTTATTCACTGTACCTGGGGTAGACTGGTAACAAGCGAAATAGGTGGACTCGGAAATGAGTAAACGAGTATAATAGTGTTATACGAAGAAAAAGATAAAAAGAGTCTCAACGGCCGGCTTCTGTTACTTACTCGATCAACTGCCATACCCCATTATTCTCTTGGGCAAAAGTCGACCCGGTGTCGAGAATTCTTCTCTGATATGGGCCCTGACGGACACTCAGGGAATGTCCCTCGGGCTGCAGAGCTAACCCGATGGCAGGGTTGACAAGGTAAAGAGACAACAGGCATCCGACGTAGGAGGAAAATTGCGTATAAGGAACCATCTTGATATACTTATGGGAATTGCAAGTTAGAAGTGCAGAATGGGTTGCAGGAGTGGAGGGCAGAGGCTGAACATTAGGGAGAATATCCGAGGTTTTTATAGATTCTGGAAGCTGCCTTGCATCATGATGCGAGTACTCCTGACCGTACCAGGGCAGCGACGTCCATGTCTCACCAGAGATGCACAGACCGTACGTACCCCGAAGACCTGTCAAAGCTAAGGCGCGGTCTAGACTGACGCACTGGGAACGTGGCCGAATGTATTGCAACGGTACCATTACAGAAAAAGAAAATGGGGCGATGACAACATGGATACGTCCCTATTCAGCTGGAACTGCATAGACTTCAAGAAGTAGTTTACTCCTACTACGTGTCACTCTAAGATACATTGGATGCTACATCAATTAAGATATGGTAGAGGCTTAGATCCAGCAATGTGAAATAGCTAGGACAGGAGATGCAAGAACTGCCTTCGTGATCGACCAACAGTAATGAATGCGAAACGGCCTCAACCGAGTATGTAACTACTCGGGAAGAGTCAAGTCAAGGCTGGCATCGACTCCGCCATCACAAAAGTGAGAACTGTGGGCACCAGGAACAGATAGTCCTAGTGAATTGCCAATGTTGCCGCATAAAATAACAACAACCTGTCGAGTCGATAAGCTTCACTAGAGGAGTAGTTCTAAGCGGTTATCTGTTAGCACATATCTAATGCTACAAAAACAGAGTCTCGTCTCAGTCAGGAAGCGATTCAAGGAGACATGTACCAATTAAGAGGACATTATACTTCCTCGGTGTGTGGATGTAGTTTAAGAGTCGGACGGCAACATGGGAGCCAGAATAATACTGCAATACGGGCCGGTCCTGCTGTGTCCTGCTGTGTCCTGGCCGCTGTTGCCTAGACTCTTCGATCAGAAGATAATGGACGTGTTCATTTCGGTTCTTGCTACGATTATTAGGCCCCTTATGTCGTTACCTCGGGACAAGTTGATGTCAGAATAGCTAGTTTTGGTACCATCTCTCTTGGCCCTGTACGTATAGTCTGATCTGAAGAATGACTTTTTAATCTCCCCACGCTCGGCCGACTCCAGTGGTTATTTCATCGCCATCGAATCGCGCGATGGGTAGTTGATGCGGCTCAAATCTTACGAAGGTTCCTGTCGCACGGACCACCTTGCCAAGCCCTGATTCAAGACATACAGCGAAGATTTTCAAGACATATAGCCTAGGAGGCCGTATCTATTGGTCTATAAAGCTCACGAGACTAGAGGAGTCTGCGAGGAAGGCCTCGACCAGGTGAGAAGGCCTGAAAGCATGAATATAAATAAAGGCCAGGGGACGAGGTTACATCGCTTGAAAGAAGAAGAAACCAAGGACTCTTTAGACCCCTAGAGAATCATTAGTTGACCCCCTGTTCCAAGCCCTTGAGATCAGCCCTTGTCACAGTTACATTGTATAGCTGTGCGCCAAGAGGAGAGGAAGAGGTAATAAAAGAATACCCACGTGTAGCGCATGCGTGTTTGGCAAGCTAGTCCTGCAAGGAACTTGGTAGCATATGCAACAACTGATAGTCTAAATACCGGAGGTAAGTATAAGCTGTGTCACAACCTGCAGGCTGCGAACGTGGCTTGCGTGGCTTGCCAGTGCGTACACCTTAATTAGAATATTAGCTCCCAATAATAGGTAAAATTAGGTGTCTAGACCTCCTACCTATATTGCATCCATCGCAAGCTGACAAAGGCGTGAGGCGTGAGGCTTGAGCTGAAGAGCAAAGGTTACGTAAAAAGCTATCCGAAGTGAGCCTCTCTACGGGACTTATTATGGCGTGCAAGCTCGTAGAGGAGTAAGCGGAGAAAAGGACCCTCCGCCGCCGGCGGTGATGCGGCTCTTTATATACGATATTACTTGGATGTGTAAGGTCGATCATCCTAGACGCGTTGAGGCAGCTTCGGGGTCGCCTATAGGAATCGGCTTCCGCAAATTCGACGTGTCGCTGCAGCATGCCAGTCCAAAGGTGCTCCTATTGGTTTGAAGAGTAAGTTGTATTGGCTTTCAAGTCTAGGAGCTTATGCCCATCAAAGCTAGCATACCGTTTTCTAGAATCCACGGACCCGGCTTCTGCCGTATTAAATCTAACATTATAAACACTTAAATGTACAAGGACATGCGTTTCTTTGGCCTCCCGACGCCTGCAAGAGTAAGGTTACCATACCCCTTTTTCAAGAAGTCCTGATATCAACCAGTCAAGCTAATAGACGTAGAGCAACGGCCGGCCGCAGTTGTATGCTTGCCCAGTAAACCACCGAGCGTAGTATACAATCCCACCCCAATAATTAATTATTCAATGCAGGACATAATTCTCCAGCGTCCTCTTCCCTTCCATCCATTCCTTGACAGCCTCCCCATTCATGTAGCCATCTACGTACGCATCGCCTACCAAGCTGTATTCTTTATTTCCATCTGGCCGTAAAAGGATTGGTGTCTTGCAGCCCAGAGGCACACAAATAATGTCACCGCTCCTCATGAAACCCGATCCCATACCCATAAGCCCGCCGTCTGTGACAAAGAAGCAACGCCCTCGCATCTTCAAACCGCAGTTAACCAGCAGAATTTTGCGTCTAGCTCCCGGTGGAATGCCTTCTATCCGATTCGTATATGCCTTCAAGTGGTCGGTAAGGGTTACAGACGGTAAACTCTCACTGATGAGAGACGCGAATAAATGATAGCAGATCTCCATCCATGTACCAGTTTCTCGTATCTTCGGGACCTTCCCCAGAGCCAGTGTTCGACAGAAAGCCTCGTCGTTTTGTTTCCGTACTCCGGGACCTACTTTATTAGCTACTAACCAAGCGAAAGGCTTAGCCTGCCAATGCAAGAAAGTCATTAGATAGTCATCTAAAGAGCAGAACGTTCCCATGGCGATTCCTCGCATCTTCAACGCGTCAATGTAGATAGCGGCCACCGCAAGTTTAGTTCTTTGCGGCGGATCAATAAAATGGAAAAGGGCATCCACGTCACTCGCCGCAGAGAATTCATGAGATGATCCAAGTGCCGCCGTGGGTGGAGCAAAGGACCAGTCAGGCACCCAAGTGGGCAGTTTCACCGTACTTATATGGACTGGGTAGTAGATTGCGTCGCATATAACGTCAACACGACGAGTCGTATTGAGGAGAAAATCGACTACATTAGTGTACACTTCTCTTAAAGATGCATTATAATCGAGAGGAAACTGCCACTGAACACCTTCAGGTAAGATTCCTAGGACGCCGAATACCTTGTCTCGCGGCTCAGCGGCTAGCTTTGTCCTGCAAATACGGAGTACCTCTAGGAGAGATTCGGCACCCTCATTTGCTCGCGGCTTAAGGATTTCAAGGCTCGCAGGCCCTCGCGAACATAGGGTGTCAGCATACCACAGTCCTTGTCGTGAACCTTCCGTCGTGCCCTGTGGGAAATGATGTCTTATAATATCTGTCGCGTGAGACTTAAAAATAGCAGAAGCAATTTGGAGAACAATCCAGGGGACTTCACAGTCGCCGCAATATACGGAGACGGTCCTTGCATTAACAATCTCTTGCACTA